TCCTGTGTATTCTTTTTTTTTCGCCCCCAACAATCTTCAGCATTATTCAGTGCACTACAATCAGCAGTATCATCGGCCGTAGTAGTCAGCTTTATCTTACTTCTGTCTTCACTTTGCAGGCATTGCTGAGTTTTATGTTGCGGATCACCTGACATGTGCGATTGTCATGTAGCTGTTGAATGAGGTCGATACAAATTTGGGACACTCCATAATGTTGAAATAGTTTCCGAAGTACTTCACAGTCACCTCTGTCGAAGGTATTTTCAGAGTCGATGAAGTTGAGGTGAGGAGAGATTTAACTGCCATTCTACACTCTGTTCGATGATGATGCGTAGAGTCGCAATTTTTATCTACATAAAATTCAAAATTAGCTTAGTCATGAGTTTTTATTTACTTACTAACTCATATACATTATATAGAGAGTGTAACGACTAATGCTACATGAGTAACAGCTTATTCTGGTTGGTATGTTATCCTATTTAATTCACTGAGAAGTTGTATTTGTACATACATGTCTTTGGATGACTCCTTTTTGGTGGTAATAAGTCTCTGGGGCCAGGTTAAAATGTAACCTTCAGTAACTACCAACGAATTGCTGTGTCAGCACCAATAACCTTGAGTGGACTAATGAGTTTGTTCACGTCAGTCCACATTTTTATTCTACTTGATCTGAGTGCAATGCTTGCTCTAACGCAATTACGTCTGAAATTCGGTGTAGACCAAGTTCTTCAGTACTGCTTAAATGTGGGATTGATGTGGGGAAGGAAAGAATTTATTCCTGTGATGGTATCATCAGTATAAAAAGCCTCAGTAGATCGCCTGATGGACGTGTTCACCGTTGAGAAATTTGTTGAAGACGAAGAACATATTTTGCTAGATCGCATTAGTTACTACCCCAGATTTTGTATATTTGTCATTACTGGGTTCTAAAACATTCTGTGAGAGTTACATCTACTGAAAAGGAAAATAATCCCGTTTCCAACGTTCAGTGGTACCAGCACACTGTAGCGATATTACATCTTGGAAGATTCAGACAGTCATTTCTCTGTTGGGAGGAGGTGTTATCGTACATATATAGACAAAACAGTCCTAATAAAGAGGAAATACAGCCGTAGTCGTGAGAAATAACTAGCGTTCCGCTGATTGGTTTGTATGATATCACTTTATGGAAGTGATTCATCAAAAGAATACCAAACAGAAAGTTGAACACTTTAATAACTATGGAAACCTGAAAGTCGTTTTTATCATATCTTAAAGTAAAGTAGTCTGTGTAGCATTTTTATACATTTTATACCTAAAAATACCCCTTTTAATGTGATTGGTTCGTTCAAGGCCATTTGTTGATTGGTGGTTATTGCTGCGTGAAGGCTAACTTAACCGTCTCTGGCACCTATTTTTTCTGTTTTTAACATTTCATCTTTTCTTTGTTTTGAGTTCTGCGTAGAATGTTGGTCTTTAAGCATGAGTATTAAAGTTTCAGTAACAATATGGTGTATTTTTTTTACAGGGTGAGGGTTCTGGTCAGCCTCACGCCCAACTTTCCCTCTTTTCTGCGCTTGCTAACGTCTAAAGTTGGGTTTAGAACTGATTAACTGACGGAACTCTGTACAGATGTGCACCAGTTCCAGTTGTCACTGTCCTTCCATATAGCACACAAAGCAAGAGAACAGAGTAAAGAGAGACTCGAAAGAGAGATAATAAACAGAAGTATGAGTATAAAGAAAAAACAATACAGTTTTTTTTATTGATATGACAAATGACAAAGAGTATGTTTTTGAGACATGTCACCAATCATCTCCAACGTCCATTGCTGCTTACCGTCCAGAGGACCCAACTAGTCAGGAAGTCTACACCTTCCTACGTGTCGGGCTAGCTCGAACTAACTGTTGTGGATTCGATTGATTGAGGAAGCCATATTTTGGTTTGACCACTACTAACTCTCTCTTCTCCAACCTCATCCATCCTATATTAGTGGCTAACATTGCCCATTGTCGAGGAAAGCGATGATAAGACATGCGTAATACATGTTCGAACCATTTCAATCGATGTAACTACACGAACTTATCCATTGGTTTTCCTTCTACACCACCTAGCACTCGACCGATGCCTCACCCCAATTACTTACCCTATTATACGACCAGCTAACATGGGACGTAGGACGCAGACACCTATATATTCAAAGACAACTATCTAACCTTTTCGTGTCTTCCACTCTCAATGGTCACATCTCACAACCATCCAGAAAGGAGGATGGAGCGAATTACTGGGTAGTACACACATCCTTTGGTCGACAGCCAGCCGTATATCACGTCTATGCCAAAGATGGTTTATGTTGGCAAATGGCAAACGAGCCTTCTATATCCGTTTAGGAATGAGTTGACCGAGAATCGAACACCGGACCACAGATATATGGTTGAAGAGCATTCTACTACGGAACCACAAAAGCACATCATCCCATCTGTGTGGTCACTTCACCTTCCTATAGAATTCAGTGAAAACCTAATGTAGGAGGCCAGCTGAATTAGTGAACGCCTAAATTCTAAGCAAAGAGTCTTAGTTTTCAATTAGCTTTCATTTAATCAGGTTCAACAAATCAAGTAGAATCGTGGATATTTATGTATTAGGCTGATTGCCTGAAATGGATTTTGGAATTGTACTGGGTGTATATGACTGATGAGGAATGGAGGAGACCTGAATTCATTTATGTACTTGTTCTTGTTGAAGTCATTATGAAATTGTGAAGTTTTTTTTCCATAACATATTAAAGTAACAATAAATAGGGGATTCATATCAGTTAGAGAACCACTGAAAAACCAGCAGGGAGTACTGGACAGCTGTTTCGTCCTAGTTTTGGACACGTCGGCAGTATGCGTCCTCCGGGTTAGGAATCCAGGAGCTCCAGTTTACAAGATGATCTTGTAGACCTTTCAACCACTGGAACCCGACCTGATTCTAAGTCTCATGAATCCCAACTTCTATCAATTTGTGATTTTAACTCGACTACAATCCTATGTCATTGGCGAGTATTTATTTGCACTCCTGATTGGGTGAACTTCACTGGTCACAACTTCTCAATAAAGCTCCAGACGGCCTCGTCCTGTAGTTTACAGTCGCTAGTGAGCATCAGATTTCTTTTCAAGAGTTTTGTTTCATAGGGATTTGATTTTTTTTTCAAGTTTTGATCATGGATTGATGGGTTAGGGTAAGGATCATTGAGTCGTGTCGTAGTGGCTAAATCGTCTACAGGCTTACCTTGTAATCAGAAGGTCCTGGGTTTGAACGTCGGTGGTGGGTGCGTAATACCGATGAATCTAAAACTAGGACGAAGTAGCTAGTGTGGTGAGAGCAGGCTGCTAGCCGATTGGTTGACACAAATCTACGTTAATGTCTAGGTCACTAATATGGGCCGTGAGAAAATATGAACAAGGCTGTTTCAACAACCAATCACAGCAAACTTAAATGTGGACAAATATGATTCGCAGATAGATGGCTCTACTTTCCGAGAAATATCGAAAACAACCAATCATAAGACTGTGTTTGTCTGCTTAACTTCCGAGAAACAACCAATCAGAAGACTGCCTTTTTCTGCTTGCATAAGCCTTATTAATGCACATAAAATATATATAAATACGTGTTGATTTTCGTAATAAAGCGATCTGTTGCCAGCCCTTGTCTTCTGTTGTTACACTAGCTGTTCAGTACTCCCTGTTTGTTTTCAATAATTCTCTAACTGATATCGATCTCTGATCAAAATTTGAAATAAATCAATTCCCTACAAACAAATTCATAAAAGTAAGTTAGTGAATGTGTTTATTTCTTTGTGTCCGGAGTGGAGCATAGGACTACAAGCTTGAGCTTTCAAGTTTTACTAGTGGTGGTTTTCCGTTTTTTGCGAGGTGTGTTGACTAGCCTCATACCCAACCTGTCATACTACCGACTAAACGTAGGGTTTAGAAGTGTATATTTTGATTTGACACTAGTAACTAGTGTGATGCGTCTAGTCCTCTGATCACTGTAGACTGAATTCTATCAGTCAGGTTGTAATGTGACCACCATTCTAGCTAGCTCACCCTCACGGTGCGCATTGATTTGATGGTATGAGATGGTTGGAGGCAGTCGGCCACAGGAAGCCTTGGACCTAGGTTTCGTGCTAGCTGGCACTCGTCAGCAAGGCGTATCTGCAACCTTGAAGGAACTCATGTCCATTCTGAGATTCAAACCCGCATCACCCAGTGCTGCAGTCAGAGACGTTACTACTGAGCTATTCGGGCTCAGTGTGTGTCGGTTTGGGATCGAACGATGGACCACGTGAAGCGTGACTCACCGCCCTTGAAATAGACGATACTGAGTGAATTTAGCTACCCGACAATATTGTATTGTATTTTCAGGGTTGATACGGTAGAAAGCTTCATAAAAATGCAAAAATAACTTTAAATACTGTAATAACATCAACTTTATGCTCACTATCTATCTACAAGGTGTGCTAAAACAGACGCCCAGGAACAGATCTTATATGTCCTTTGATTAGTCACTATACAGAATGATGATAGGAAATATGATGATGAATATGCTTAAATGTACGCCCAATGTAACTGGTTGTGCAGCTACTGTCAGAAACTGGTGCACATACATAGAGGCAGAGGCGAAGTCAGGTGGCACAGTGGTTAGGACTCTCGCCGACCATGCACATGGTCCGAGGTTCGAGCCCACGCCGGCGCACACCTGATATCTATGGTCGGCCTGCAAAATTTGGGCTACCGATATCCATGCTGAAAATTCCATACTTGTACCAAAAATACAATGTGGAATCAAGCTGTAAATCAAAAAAAAAATTCTTTAGCAAGAAGACTCCGATAATTGTGAAGTTTCTTAACTTTTGTATGATGTGTAAATAGACGTGGTTTATTGTAATATATTCATAGACTGAATGATTAGTTGAAAATCTTACCCACTTCTGCTTTTCTATATTTTCGTTCTTTCCTAGTGAATTTCATCATCAAATGATTCCATGGCGTTTAATTCGATCAGCTCTCCTACTCTTCCTCTCTGTGCTACTTCTGATTCAATTTCTCAGGTATATGGGACATTATTTTTCAAATGATAAGCCATATAAAGTGGTCTCAAATTTCCGTCCGCCTCCTGTAAGTATATTTTCAGGAAGTACTTTTTATTATTATTGTTGCTGGTGATATGTTGATGATGAAATCGAGACAAGTCATTCAGTGAAGAGTCTCTTTTCGACAAATCCATTTCCAGTTCGTTATCTCAATCCTGTTACCAAACAATTCGCCGAAAACTAACACATGATAATCAATCTAATACTCATTAGCTACTAGCCTTATTCAGGTAGGTGGTTATTTGGGTTTCCAGTGAGAAGTCATATGATCAACGCGGTCGACCAAGTCAGGCACGAAGAAAGGTACTCGCCTGTGACACTGTCAGGCGATTGCGCTAAATACATATCACGAGTTGGCCGAAGTTAGAATTCATGAAACAGGAGTTGAATGGTCTACTAGGTCGCCTCGTAACAGGAAGGTTGTGGGCTCGAACCCCGGTAGATGCCTACTGATGAGAAGTCCCAAACCAGGACGATGATGAAAGCTATCCAATACTCCAAGATAGTTTTCCAGTGTTTCTCTAACTGATATCACTTCGTAATCTCAATCTTGTAATCAATCAAATTCCTCAAAACGAACACGTGATAATTTATTTTCTTCAGCTGTACAGTCGCATTTACATACAATTTTTTTTCTGTAGTTAAAGTGGATAGTAAAAAAAGAGATGAATCATCACAAGATTAAATTGATACTATTCATCATTACATATAAGAAGTAGTTGAATCAGGCTGATAGAATTACGTATTAAGACAAATAATTTAAAAACTTCATACAATTCTTCCCAATTAATAAACTTGAACAAAGCAAGAACAACAATTGTACCAGGATAATATGACCTCATCTTTTATTAATTATTTCGAGGATTCTTCTCAACTGGTTACAACCTGAACGTTAAAAAATATGAATTACATTAAAGACTTGAACATACTTTTCCACGATCATAAGGAGTAATTGGTAGGAGTTAAAAGTAACATTAGTCCGGAATGATTTAACTGATTAGGAGTTACAAACACTGACTATTTATAGAATAATTAGACAATTAGGCTTGGAAACAAAAAACAGGGTTGAGTATGTATGTGTGTATAGAAACAAGGTTTAGCTAGAAAGAGCATAACAAAAAAGTAGATTACGTAACTAAAGAAGGCATCTTATCAAATAGCCAATAGAAAAAAGGAAAGAAAAGAAAGAAGGTAGGATGAATCATGTTTAGATGAGACAGTAGAGTTTTCTAAACATGAAAAGGGTGACTCATGAAAGTTGTGTATCTTTTTGTTATCACCAGGGCAGTGCAGGATTCACCACTGTCTCTTTCTGCGTAAATAGATTTGGTTTAAGTCGTTTGATGGCAATTGCTTCAGCAAAGCGTAGCAAGCTAGGTTTCTTTTGCTTGTTGATTATTTTGAACAACTTCAGGTTGTCTACAATATGACCAGTGTCCAATAGATGACGAGCAATAGCACTGTTTAATGCTTTTGGACCTTTCAGTCTCAGGTTCTTTGGTATGTGTTCATAAATGCGGACACTAACCTTTCTCTCTGCTCTTCCAATGTATGTGCTTTGGCACGTACATGTAAATTGGTAGACACAGTTGGAGGTAACATGAGGTGGGTATTTGTCCACTTTTGATTGTCTCAAACAACTAGTTGTTTAATAAACACATACAAGCTTGGCGGCTGGATATGTTCTCTTCATGGCAGCGTTTAGTCTGCATCTTATTCTTTGAATGCAAGCTGCAGAAAGATAGGCTTTTTATCTACTGTGCTGCTTTTCACTTTTTCAACATGACGTCTCCCATACTTGTCAATGAACTTTTGTGGGTAACCGTTGTCACATAGGCATTTCTACACAATGCATAGCTCTTCCTCAATCTTTTCTTCTGAACACAGTTTCCTCACACAATCAAATAATGTTCTCACCAATCCCTTTTTGTAACTTATAGGGCAGAAGCTTTTGAAGTTAAGATAAACCGCCCTACAGGTCTCTTTTCTGTGTATATATCTTATGATTTCGTCATCTATGCGTTGGTGGCACAGTGGTTAGGACTCTCGCCAGCCATGCACATGGTCCGGGGTTCGAGCCCACACCGACGCACACCTGATATCTATGGTCGGCCTGGGAAATTTTGGGCTACCGATATCCATGCTGAAAATTCCATACCTGTACCAAAAATACAGTGTGGAATCAGGCTGTAATCAAAAATAAAAAAAATAAAAAAATCTTTATCTCGTTGGATACCCAAGCCCAGGAAATGGAACTTCTCTCCTTTTTCATATCAATAATTTATTAAGTGAGTTGCAATCAGGAAGCAACCTGAAAGAAACAACCTCCTTCACCTACCTACCTTCCTAGGAAGCACCGTTTCAATTACAGGCAGAACTGACGAGGATATCACAGCAAGAATCAGGAGTGAAGGCAAGCTTTCATAACTTTCAAGTAATTGTGAAGGTCAACAGCACTCAGCATCAAAAATAAGATCCGGGTTTTCAACTCCAATGTGAAGTCAGTCAGTGCTACTTACTATACGGATTAGAGACTTGCACTGCGCCTCATAAAGAGCACCTCAATTAAACTACAGACTTTCATGTACAGCTGTCTTCGCTCAATACTCAAGATCAGATGGCCGGCCAGAAAAGATCAGCAACAGGAATCTCTGGCAATGAGCGAATCAACCAGAAACTGATTGTGAAACAAATAGGCAGGAAGAAATGGAGGTGGATTGGATTGGCCATACGCTGAGGAAACCATCAAGTGTCATTACTAGACAAGCCATGGCTCGAGTGGAACCCGAAAGGGAAGCGGCGAGTTGGTCGTCTGCGTAAGGGTGACTTGGAGGAGGTCATGTGAAGAGGAGGTGAAAGCATGTGGGCAGACTTGGAGCGGGGTGAAAAAGTTGGCAGAAAACAAGGCAATGGAGACGTGCGGCTGAAGTCCTATGTTCCTCTAGGAATTAAAGGATATAATAATAATATAATAATAATAATCAGGAAGCAAACAGAAACAAATGAAATTTGATGTTACTTAAGAGTTCAGGAGGATATATGAGTCGGGAAGAATTGGAGAAATAAAATAAGTAAAACATCTAGCGGGCTGTTTCATGGCAAACCTCAAGAATGCTTCACTCAAATCAACTGCTGATAATTTCCAGTATGTATGTGGACGAAATGTTTATTAGAAAGAAGAGAACACGAAGTTCAGCAAAGATGGCGATCTTCTCGGCGATTTCATTCTCAAAAGCAGCTGTACAATCGCATTTATATAGATTAGTTTACATGGATACAATTATCATTTATTATTATTTTATTATTATTTATGTATTATTATTTCCTCTTCTTTTTTCGTTCTCTCTTTTCTTTTTAAGCATTTTTTCGTTCGCCGTGTGTCTGATCCTTATTCCCTCAGTCTTCATTAAATTCACCTAATTTTTTTTTCAGTTATAAAAACAGTTATTTTAAGTTTGTTTCCATGCTTTTCCTGTTCACACTTATAATTCGTTTGAAATAACTATTTTTACAATTATATCTTAATCCTGTGCAATTTTTGTGTTTCTAAGGCTCTTGTAATCTATTATCACACCTCCTAACCTACATTTCAAGTTGAAAAACTTTGACTTCAATTTGTTTCCATGCTCATTTTGTTCACACCTGTAATTCGTTCTATCCCTGCGTCTCTAAGCCTCTTGTAATTCATATCAAGTTGAAAACAATTATCACCTTCTATTTGACTTAAACTTATTTCTCCAGTTATCAAATATTAATTTTTGCATACGTTGTAACTATTTTCTAATCGTATGAAATCTTGTCTCTAAGCCCCTTGTAATCTATACATTCGTACCTTCAAACTTTCATATCAAGTTGAAAATTATTATCACCTTCGTTACCATGTGGAATTAAACAAATAATAATTGTATCCATGTAAAATAATCTATATAAATGCGATTGTACAGCTGCTTTTGAGAATGAAATCGCCGAAAAGATCGCCATCTTTGCTGAACTTCGTGTTGTCGTCTTTCTAATGTCCATGTGGGTGTTTTCCACGATCTTTATTATCTGTGATGATGATCACGATATTAATCAATTATTATAAATATTCAACAACTGCCTTCCAGCTACAAAGTTTACTCTTGAAATAGAAAACAGATCCAAAATTCCTTTTCTTGATGTTGAACTTACAAGAAAAGCTGACGGAACTTTAAAGAGGTCCATCCATAAGAAACCCATATGGAACGGCGAAGTGACAAGCTTCTACAGTTAGGTACCAATCAGTCAAAAAAAGAAACTTAATTGGATTTCTTGCCACTAGCGTTCAACGTATCTACAGTTCCGATACCCTGGAAGAAGAACTACACTCCCTGAAAAAAATCTTCATGCAAAATAGATGTCCACGAAATTTCATTGACAAAAACGACAAACAGAAAATACAAAAGCAAGAAACGCCATATGTGCCGAAAAAGATACTTTATATGAACCTCGACTTCAAAGGTGACCGACTCAGTTATTTTCTTAAGGGAAGAATTTCCACTTCTATAAGAAGAACCTTCTTCGCTGCAACACTCAGAGTAATGTTTTCCAGTCGTCCGCTGTTCCCTGGAAGAGCAATGGACAAGATCTCGCATCTGACCACTGACATATGTATATATCAGTTCACCTGTTGCTGTGGAGTCAGGTAGATTGGTCGTTCGACGCGCAAACTGTCAGAAAAGGTCAAAGAACACTATCCAGTGTGGCTGCTGAAATCAAGTAATGGCCGTTTAAGTTTAACAGCAGAAGACAAGACACGGAAGCCAAGGTTTACTTTCCATTGATCAAACCGCTGTTGATGTATATACAGTTTATATTCTCTAACCAATTACTGAACGTGTGATTTTGGCTTACATTAAACGACATGAAATAAAATGTTCAAATAGATATATCGTATTCTGTTGCTAAATGCCGTATTGAACTATGGGAGTATATGAAAATCATATTCCGTTGGAACACATTGTCTGTATCACACCACCACATAAGGAGTGCTATAATGGATTATCT